TTGATTGCCGGTATTACTCGTTTGCAGTCAGAGTGTGCGGCGCATGGAATTCTCTCCAATCTGATGTAGTGTGTGCTCCTACAGTTGAACAATTTAAATCGCAGCTTGATAAAGCATTGGAACACTTAAAATTTCAACATCCGTGAGTGATCACGCACATTATTATCATTGTTATTTTCTCTTTGTGAAGTTATTCAAAAAATTCTGTAAAAATCCTATGGGGCATGATAAGCTTTAGCTTTGTTAAATCGCCCGACATGATGGACTCCATCGTGAAGGTGGTCCTAAACTGTCACATGGGTGGGTTAAGCCTATACCCTCATTCACTTAGTGTTCGAAGTTTCGTCATCGTCGGGTTTCCCATGAGTTTCACCGTTTGTTTTGGAATAAACTCACCGCTTAGGGGCTGAAAACCCTAGCAGTACCCGTCCATCAAACTCCAATGCATATGCATTGCGAGTTTATCAGTGATCAGTGAAGTTCGCTTCCCTGTATTTCGCTGTACGATGATGGTGATGATACGATGAGCACTCAAATGCAATGACTACGCTCTGATACTTAGTGGCTGGCACATAACGTCAGCATTACTGATCAGACCATGCCGTCACAACCAATGCTCGATGGAATAAATGCTGCAGTTAGCTTGTCCTCCGAAACAATTTTTACGTGATAATCATGGCAGTAGAAAAGCCGAATCAATCATATCTTAATGAACCGACGAATAATCATTTTGATTCGTTTTCTGGACCAATCGCTCGCATTTCTCGGTGACGATATTTCGTGTTATCTAGTGTTCCAGATCATTTCCCCTCTATATCGTTATCGAATGAAGCAATAACTGCACCCCTGACCTCTGCAGTCAGGGAGTGATGGAGCTAAACACCTCGCCAAGGCGAAAATAGTAAAAGATCGAGATCTTTTTTGACCCTAATTGGGGTCACACAAATCAGTCTCTCGACAGATTACCTTTTAATCGTCTATGCGTTACCCTATAATTTGATCGCATTCACGGTTTGACAATTCTTGTTTATTTTTATCTAACTAATCGAAAATTCATTTTCTTCGTGCAGGCTGCATCGATGATGCTTGCTATACCGATCGTTAGGATTTATGCCATGCCAGTTTCTCGATTGCAATGCTGTAACTATTGTGGTGGTAATCGGTAGATAATCGGGATGGATTTAGTCTTACTGTTCAATAAAATAGGACCATTTTTCTATTTTATTTAAAAGGCGCATTTTAAGCGTTTTCGTAAATGTCTTTCAAGCCACAAATTTGCACTAGGACCAGAACAATCGATACAAACTGGAGGCAACCACGACCCCATTGGAATTTTGATATCTCCCTTAGGAGTTTGGCCGAACCCGCCTACGCAACAGCTCACGTCCACTTTTGTGCCCGGGTATGGTGATCGGTTCATCGATCCACCGATTCGCGACTCCCATCCTTACCCGAATGACCGAGATCAGCCACCGTCGGGTTTGTTCTTTCTCATGAAGGGTGTAGCCTTCCCCTGAGAAGGACCCAAACTTCACTAGGGCTCATTTGCTAAATACTTTCGTTTCCTTTTATGGACGGGCGTTGTGATCTGCCCCACTTTAATTACTGCGCACGTCCATCTTATGATTCCACTTTATTCAGTTCACAAAGGTTCAATGTAGCTTTGTTATAGACACAGACCCGTGTATCAGGCGATTCGGCATCCGACGCTCGCGGTATTGCTAGTGTTGGGATTGCGTTAAGTGCCAAGGCTAAGCGCTTGCTTCTCGACTGGATCCCGGTTAGTGGCCGATTTTTCGCTGTACGTCTGGATGGTTCAGAACGGATCAATAGCTACATTGCGATGCGTCTATGCTTATTCGTCGTATCCGCGTATGCACCGACAGATTGCGGTTCACCAGAAATGAAGAATGAACTCTACAAGAACCTCTGAACTGCTCCAAACTGCTAGGCCAACGGACACTGTGGTAGTCGCTGGAGACCTCGATGCTCAAGTGGGACCTCTGGACGAATCAGAGAGGTTACTTGGCGGTTCACATGCAATCCCAGCTAAACGGACTGAAAACGGAGAACGCCTACTCCAACTTTGTGCTGACCATGGACTGTTTCTGTCAAGCATGGACTTCTCGTACAAAAAACGGCACCGCCATACATGGAGACTGCCAACTTCTGCACAGCGCTGGACTCAAATCGACCACATCGCCATCAGCCACCGCTGGAGAGAATCCATTGAAGACTGCTGCTCCTACTGGTCAACACCCGTAGACACGGACCATGCTCTGCTCTCTATACGTCTGGCAAGCAATCGCAGAAAAGCCACCGGAAACGGATGCGCGCAATACGATGTCAGCGATAGTTGCAAATCGGCCTTAGAAGTGGCACTTTCTGACTGTCTTTCTTCTCAACCATCAGCCGGAGTACTCAGTGAACACTGGTCGGCAATTAAGGAAGTGATCCAAATATCGATAAAAGCAACGGCGGATTCTGATGCTCGATCAAATCAGATGATGTTATGGGGCTAAGTGAAGGCCCAGGCAAGTTGAAAGATTTTCTGAATAGAGTGAGTGCTAGTGCAGCCATGTTCGATATGCACTTTGGACCTTCAAAGTGTAAAATGTTACTACAATATTGGGTTTGCCCAGCCTTCAACCGCACTCCGACTGGGACAGTCATAGGGGAAGTAGATAAATTCTGCTACTTATGCAGCTATATCTCACGTGGCGACTCATCACTGATGAGGTGTCGGCACACATTATAAAAGGCTTAGTTGGCATTTACTAACTTGAGGGGTCTGTGGCGCCGTCGCGACATCCGGGTGTCTGTGACTGGTCGACTGTTTGCTACAGCAGTTTGGCCAGCGCTACTACTTCGTGCAGAATTGGCCATTACGGGACTAGGATAAAATAAATTATCGGTGTTCGAATACCACTGTCTATGCCTCATTGCACGAGTGTGGTGGGAAACCGGACAATTAATGCAAAGTTTTGGGTAATCGCGGCCGTTCACTGGAACAAGTGATCGACCTACATAGGCTGCCCTGGTTGGGACGTGTTGTGCTTGTCACCAAATGGGTTGCCACTGAGCACGATGTTTGCCGAGGCAGGAAGCGGTTGGAGAAAGTTCACGGCGGTCAAACTAAGACCTGGCATGAAGGTATGAAAACTCTAACCAGGACACTATGTCGTTAGACGCCGTGGATGGGGACATCAGGAGCACGGTAACCGGGGGTTAGAGACACCGCGTGATATGGCTGGGTGTCGCAAACAGTGGGGCTCATGTATCTACTTGTTCTTAAAAGCCCAGTCTATTCCATTTCACCTGTTCGCCGAGCTTGGCTATTTGCAAGCGTTTCATCACCAACCGAGATGACATCGTCAGTGCTTGCGTATAATAACTCTCTATCCGCACTTCGACTCTGCTCTCAACGTTCCAATCTTCATTCTGCTCTTTCATGTAGATGGGCGGACAAAAGACCAAAACCCATATCTGTGCATGGCAAATAGTTGTGAAACCTGTAGATGAAAACTTTATTGACAGTTTCAGTGCTAGTGTAGTCACGTTCGGTATTCACTTCGCACCTTATAAGTGTAAAATGCTACCACAGGCTTTGGTTGGTCCAGCCCCCAACCTCATTCCAAAAGAAGAAGTAGAAAAGTTTTGCTATCTGGGAAGCTTTTAATTCACCTGGCGGACGCGTAGAAAATGTAGTTTTGACTCGTGTACACGAGGCTTTGTGGGCATTTGCCAAGTTGAAGCATCTCTGGCACCGTCGTTACATCCGTTTATCTGTGCAGGTATGCTTTGGCACCAGAGCTGTAATTGATCATCAGTTAATAATAATAATCTTTAATTTTCAACTACTGCTCGTATCTACATTACTGAAACTGAGTTTTCAACTATGGTCTTTTTGTAGATATGACTATCCCGGTTTCTGACAGATACCAAAACAGATCCACCGGTACACTGTACGAGACTGACGTTGCTGAAAGTTAAAGTTTGTTTACTTGCCCGAAAATTTCTGAACGGAATAGAACACGGCGAGTATTAACCTCGACATCAAGCCCCAATAAATGATCACTCACATAGCACGCTTAATCTAGCGGGACATTACGTAGTTGGTCACTTGCGATTGGTTGCGGGTCATACGATTGAATGGCAATTTCTTAATCTATGAGTTTACCCCGTCTAGCGTTCATCATAAAAAAGATATTCACAGGATATTTTGCGTTGATAAGTTCAACTTGTTTCGTTCATCCACAATTGTTCTCGTCCGCTGACTATTACCGTCATAGACGTGCTTATTGCGATTAAACACGAGTCCTTGGGACTTCCATATACAATCACCCTCATGAAGCGAGCAAAAAGCCAATACCGTGCACGGTGCACCAAAATTAAATGAATTCAAAAGTATGATGGTTTTTTTACACCGTACAGGTTTTTTAAGTTTTGGCTTTCGTACATGTATGTGGGTTGACGAGTTCACTATATATGTTTGGTACATTCCTACCACTGATTTCGAGTCTAGAGCATTTACTGTCGAACCTGCTTAATGTGGTGAAACCTTAATCCGAATAGTATGCTGCATCGCTTCTGATGAGGTCATAGCAGCGAACTCACCCATCTACCCAAGTTTCGTGGTTGACCTTTCATGTCACCAAGAAAAGTGCAACGGATGTTTCGTTTCATTTATCATAAGTTGGGCTGTTACGAAACAATTCTTTCACCTTTCCATTTCCCATTCTTTTTAATTATCTTACTTCCGCCTTTTCTGTGCTCTTGTTTGAACGTAGAACCTACTATTACACCAAACGAATTGTTAAAAAAACCGCGAATCTTAGTTGAGAACCCGTTCACCTACGTTGATCCGAGCTCCGATGAGGACTGGGCGAAAATTCGCGACTATTACGGAATAATGGAAGAGTCACGTGCCAATCGTTACATATCCGGTCGTTGGTTTTGCGCGTCCAATCTTCTCTATCGCTCTGCTGGTGAAGATGCTTTACGTCGTCGTCAGTTCTACTACACTAACCATTTTGTGAGGGATCTGATTGTGCACAACGCATGCCGAGGTATACCCCCGGAACATTTGTTTATTTACGTATGCCGGTTATTTTANCCATTTCCCACTTGGTCCTATTGTCCGAGATTGCGATTCACGTACCTCGCATTCTTGTATGAATAAAGGGAGTCGCGGTGTGCTTTGGTTTGCTTAAGTTTGATCCAGAGCAATCACTTCAGAAAAGTAAATATCAAGTCTTCGGTAAATTTGCCTCGGAGAACTTGTTTCCAAAAAGGCCATTTTCGTTCACATCAGGAGCAAATACACGGATCAACTTAGTGTATGCATCGACAGAGACAATCTAAGTACCTTGGATACAACCATACCTGGGATCCGCCTTGTCGCCCCATAATTATGATTTTCATAATGCATTTAACTACTTAAAAGTAGTCTATTTAATTTAGTAAAACTAAATCAATCCCAGACTCTCAGATGGAAGCGTTCATTTAATATTTGTATTTTCGTTCGGAAGGAAACCACATTGTGTACTGTATTTCGTTCAAATTCTCCGATTTCATTTATTAAACTAATCTGGGAATTCGGATGATTTTCCAACGATCTTCTATGGGCTTGATGTGTATTTTTGTTGCGCTTCCGAATGCTACGATGTGGTTCACTTCCACATCAAAAGAGCTAAGACTAGCGCATAAAGCGTGTAAAAAAGAAGCAAGTTGCTCATTTTTACAATCACATACTGTTGTACAGCGCAAACAAACAATAGTGGCCATATCTTAGCATACATTCTTCCTCTAGTTGGTCTGTCATTATTCATGTCCTGAAACGCACGAGTTTGGATTCACCCCATGCAGTCCTGTGGCCTCATACCCACCCTCGTGACGCTTGAAACTGTTTGAGATCATGTTTGTATTCGAAAGCCTATCGATATTCCCACTTCTTGGTCTCCACTTACGCGCGTTTGATTAGTCATAGTCCTGAACTGGATTGTATTATCTTTTATGTAAAAGAGTAAAGATTGTTTTTCCAAATAATAATATCCCAAGATGTTTTTATTTTTTCTTCTGATGATAGGTCTAAAAANGTGTACGTATGTTCTCAATCATGGAGGACAAACAATTTAATGGTTATCGTCTACTTCAAGACGGTGTGGATCTGGCGGATGCTTTTTTACCGGCTACTGGTGGACGACGAATCTTGCTTACCGAGGATCAGTACTCGGATTTGGTGCTTCTTCTCGAGGAGGAAATGCCGTTACTGAGTCGATTTAGTGAAGCCACACAAAGTTTGTGTACTGCATTGAGTCCTGGTCCTGTTCTAATCGAGTATCGCCCTAGCGGTTCATCTAAGGTTCGTGTTTATTTCTAATTTGAGTAGTTTTCAGTGGGTACTTGAACAGTTTCAAACAAACCCTTATACAAATATTTTCATAACTAGGATTTGAATCCTTGACATTTTCTGATTCTAATAGTGCCTATTCACTCAAGCCACTGCACCGTTTCTCGTTTTAGAACGTTACTATCACCTGAAAGTCTCGGTTTTTGAGTAACCTTTTTCCTGCTACAAAAGTGTGTCATTTGTTCCTTGCCTTTCGTCAATCTGTTGTTAACACATCTACTGGGAACGTTTCATTATCCATTTATGTCATGCGGGATGTGATGTTTTATGCAGAATAATAACAACCTTGAATGAGCTTGCTTTTAAACGAAACGAAAAAACCGGGACTGTTTTGCAAATATGCCTCGGGAACATCAAGTGCATCCAAGCGAGTACGTTTTTCTGAGAATCCCGTATAATGATTGGTGCATCACACGTCAACAATGGGCTCGAGTTCATCAAAACCCCGTCTAGTCGGAATGAACTGATTTCTCCAAAGACAACCAAAAATACTTGCTAAGTGTGTTACCGAGCCAGATTGAAAGTTTCGGTGGGGTGGGGTGGGCTTTGAAT